CTTCTTTTCACCGTTTCAAGACATTTTATTTTTAGATATGCTATTAACGACTTTTTGGAAATTATACCTGTTCGATACCTAAATTTTTCAAAAATTTTTTATTTTGAAATGTCTTACTGAGGCCTGTTGGTGCAAGAATTTTAAGTTAAATTTCAATTCATGGTGCTTCTTCGTTAAATTCTAAAAGTAAAATAAAAAAAGTAAAAAATTCTTGACACGTCTACCAATAAAATTTATTTGCAATTTATTCACGTTACTTTACTAAGTCTTACATGTCAGAGATCAGAATAATGTTCAGTCAAAACTTTAATCAGTAGAACTTAATGAATAATCTATGCTACAGACTTCAACTGTTTCATAAATTATTTGTTAAATTGTTTGTTATGTTGTTGTTGTAACTGTTTGTTTGTTATCTTAGCGCAATCATACTTAATAATACGTAGAATATTCCACCTGATACAACGAAAAATAAATTAATAAAATTCTCAATAGATTCAATTCTATTTAACTCTAAAATATATATTTATTTTAAAAATATTTTTATTTCAAAAATCAGTAAAATATTTTATTTTATGTCAATATCTCTCTAACTTTTCGATAACTTTTGTCAACACCATGAATATATTTCAAAGGGAACAGTAGTTACAGGGACGAAAGTGACAAAACCTTGAATAACAGTACTTTGCCTATCGCTAGTTTGAGATAACAACCTCAATAGGTATTTTTTTAAAATAAAATTTTGTTATTGTCTTCCGTTTCGTTTACATTTTATTTTGTAAATTATTATTTACTTGTTCATTTAAATTGCATGGTATAGAATGTGATTGTGTATAGATTATTTATAGGTAATTGATGGAGTGTGCGCATCATTTTTAATTAAATTTTGTAGATGTGTTAAGTAGTAGTTATATTCATTTGAAACACAGTCTACTCTTTAATTCAATTTAATTATTTGTGCGCAATGTTTTTACTTTTTTTACAATTCCAAAAATTGTGATTTTCTTGCTAGAAATGCACATCTTTATTATTAGCTTTATATATTATAGTCACTTGACTAAGTCAAGTCATTATATTTCGTTTTATTTCATAACTGGTGGTGAACAGCCAAAAAATTCTGAGTTTACGACTATCAATGTTCAACTCCATTAAATTGTTCAACTTCATTCCAATGTTCAATTTTAATGCCAGTCTGGAAAATAAGGGAAATCCCTAATCAAGCATCGGAACAAACTAGCCTTTGTGGGGGAATTTTGATAAAACTAACCTGCACTGGCGTTGGGTGAAGAAGAAAACCACGAAAAGCTTCCACAGTTAGACCAGCGACAAGAGGATTCTAACCCATGCTCCATCTAAGACTGAGGATATTTTATGCTTGTACAATGGTCTTTGGAAAGCCGAAAGCAGAATTCATATCAACCAGCCAATGCTGGGATTCGAGCCTGTGTCAACTCATTAGAATGCTAAACCTCAATCCACTGAGACACTCAACATGCATTTTGTCTTATCATCTTTGTCTTATCAATCTTGAGTTTTCAATAACCAATGATCAACTCCGTAACCTTGTAATTTTGAACCCAATCCAGAAGACAAGTGAATTCCTGGATCAAGTATTGGGAGAAATTTGCCTTCGAGGACTTTTCAATGAAACTTTCCCTCATTACGTGGAGAGGAAGACCACGAAAACCTCCCACGGTCAGCCTAAAGGCTAGGAGACTCTAAGCTATGATCCGCTTACCACTGACGATATTTTACTTCAGCACTGTAGTATGCGTAAACTAGGTTCCTATTTCTATTCGCCCAGCTATTGCTGGGATTTGAACCTATTTCACCTTATTGGGATAATTTTATTAACGTTTTTGCAATAATGAGATTTAGTGTACATTTATAACGCATTATTAATGTATACACAAGATAATCTTCGAATGCATTCATAATAATGAACGAAGATCCCAAAAAGTGTAATTTTAAAAACACATGCTCTGTTTTAATTAAATTTAATATTTTTAAGTGAAAAAAAACTCGACTTCTCTGGTTTTTATTCTCTTTTAGTTTTTAGAAAATTTATTGGATATCAATTTCGGATAGTAAAATATCCAAGTATGTTTGCTTTTCATATTTTAAAAATTCTAAAATTATTTTAAAACATTTAACATCCAAATGTTTATAGCTCAAGCAAATGTGCTGCCATCTAACATGCATTAAGCGAAAGATTTCTTACTAATAAGTGTGTCTAGCTTTAATAAAACTTAAATGTTAACTTTTTTACAACAATTATAGGATGCTTGCAAATGTTTTTATAACATTTTATTGGGTAAAAAATTTATAACGAGGAGCCCCTCTTGTTTTGGTTACATTAAATTTTCTTACAGAAAACAGGAAAAATGACTTAAAAATGAGATTTTCCAATATTAATAAATTTAGATAGAAAAATCGAATATTATACGTACAGTAAAAGTTCAATCCTGGGGGGCCACGCTAATCTACATTCTAACATTTTACCCCATTATATTATTTTACTTTAGTTAAGTAAAAAAAGAAAGGAATCGTGTAAATAAATTTGAGATGAGATTTTAATTATGGAATTTTCAATAACAACACAAAGTTCCCTACAGAATGGATTTCATTAAATTCCATCTTTAAATTTTTTTTCTCCGAATTAATCAAGGTTTCTGTATTCTTTTGGAATGTAAATCAGGTACTTCATCTCATTTTATGTTTGATTATATATACATACATATATAT